TGGCCTGGGGCAGAGCACGGCTGGGGGGGGCTAGGCCCAGCCTACCCCTGCTGAAGGCACCGCTGCCCATGCCAGGCTACTGTCCAACAAGGCCTGAAGGAGGGACGGGGCTCTCCGGGGGTTTACCGATCGGTCTCCTGCTGCCCTTTGCCATTGGCACTGGGCACGGAGAGTGGCACACGGGGATGGGCTGGTCACGCCCTGCCAAAGTGCAGCCCTCCCGCCCGGCCGGGCGGCACAGCCCAGGGAACAGCACGTGTAGCTCAGGGCGAGGGATCCAGTCACCGCGGGCACGAGGTTCACCTGCCCTGCGGCGCGGGAGCAGCCATAAGCACTAATGGCCAAACACTGCTTCCCGCGCCCCCACTGCGCCCGGGCTGGGAAAGAGCGGGAGCTCAACCGTGTGGGTCTAGGCAGCCCCCGAACGCTCTCTGCCACATTGCACCGGTAGATGCTGGAGCGTTAGCAACTCAGAATATGGGTGCAGCCTGAGCATCAGCAGAGCAAGCAGCGCGGAAACCCGGGCTCTGCAGCCAACCAAAGGTCTGCCAAGCTGGTACATAAGCCAAGACAGCCAAGAGCAAGGAGATGGGTGAAAAGGCAGCAGCCTATGAGCTATAAAATACTCTGAGACCTTTGGAAAGGGGAGGAGAGAAACGAGGCTGGGGGCCTGGCAGAACAGCTGATCTGCTGAGACCCAACAAAACCAGGTGACGGGGGATTCCACTGCACTGTCTGCTGGGGTGACAACTCCCCCCACCCCCCTTCCGGAGAGGAAGCTTGTCAGGTGCTGGGCTTGTCCTCTCGCTCCTTTGTGTCCGAGTCCCACAAACCTTCCACGGACGCATGAGGATGAGCCGGTGTCGGACCCTGCTGAAAGCCGAGTGTGGAGACAGTCCAGGGAGATCTGCCGTGGGCTGCAGCTAGAGCCAGAGCTGCCCAAGTGGCTCCCCTTCCCTCCTGCTGGTCAGATCTGCGTCTGCAGGGTGGGGCCGGTCGGGGTGTACGGAGGGGGTGGGGGGCTGGGCTTGATGCCCTGTCCCTTCATGTAGGAAATGAACTGGTCGGGGATCTCCGCCAGGACGTCTTTGGCCAGGCGGGCCATGCTCAGCACGTGGTTCCCTGTGCGGTCGATGTAATCCCGGAACGGAACAAACTGGAGAGAAGGAAAGCAGGTCAGGCCTCCGAGGGGGACGGGGACACTGTGCCTGCGCACGCTGGAGGTGGGGCCTTAGAGCTGCCCTGCGTTTCCCCAGCCAGTCTGCGCTCTACGTGCCCTGCAGAGCAGGCTGCGGTGGGGCGGGCGTCACAGCCGCACTGGCTAGTTTGGGAAAGGGCAGACGATGAGAAGGGGGGGGCAGGAAGTGTTCATTCTGCTGAGCCCTGGTACGGGAATGGGAGTCTGGGGCAGTGGTTCTCAAACTGCGGGGCGCCGCCTTCCCGGTGATCCCGGCTCGGCTCTCAGCCCCCCGCCCCGAAGCAGGGAGCCGCGCTGGCGCTCCAGCCTCGCACCCCCGTGAGGTTGGTGTGTCAGCTTCCCACTGGGGGCAGCGGGGGAGGGGGAAAGCCCCAGGCCTCCCTGGGAAGCAGGACTAGAAGCGTCTCCACACACTGCCACTCCCCCTCCCGCCTGGGGGAACAGCAGCGCATGGATGCACTGCCTGGAGGATTTCCCCATTTCTCCCATTGCCCGGAATCTGGCCAATGGGAGCAGCAGGAGCCCATGCCTGGGACGCGGTGCCTGGGAGCAACAGGGGGCGCAAAAGCAAGTAAGTGCCCCACCCCCTCATGCCAAGAGCTGGACCCCAAGTCCACTTCTGCTCCCAAGTCCAATCCTGCAGCCTCCCCCATCCCAGACGGACACCCTACCCACCGCCTGCTCCTGCACCCTCCCTTGCTCCCGTACCCTTCCCCCTGGCCAGACACCCTACCCACCACCTGCTCCTGCACCCACCCTGCTCCCGTACCCTTCCCCCTGGCCAGACACCCTACCCACCACCTGCTCCTGCACCCACCCTGCTCCCGTACCCTTCCCCCTGGCCAGACACCCTACCCACCACCTGCTCCTGCACCCACCCTGCTCCCGTACCCTTCCCCCTGGCCAGACACCCTACCCACCACCTGCTCCTGCACCCACCCTGCTCCCGTACCCTTCCCCCTGGCCAGACACCCTACTCCCAGCATGCTCCTGCACTCTCCCTTGCTCCCGTACCCTTCCCCCTGGCCAGACACCCTACCCACCACCTGCTCCTGCACCCACCCTGCTCCCGTACCCTTCCCCCTGGCCAGACACCCTACCCACCACCTGCTCCTGCACCCACCCTGCTCCCGTACCCTTCCCCCTGGCCAGACACCCTACCCACCACCTGCTCCTGCACCCACCCTGCTCCCGTACCCTTCCCCCTGGCCAGACACCCTACCCACCACCTGCTCCTGCACCCACCCTGCTCCCGTACCCTTCCCCCTGGCCAGACACCCTACTCCCAGCCTGCTCCTGCACTCTCCCTTGCTCCCGTACCCTTCCCCCTGGCCAGACACCCTACCCACCACCTGCTCCTGCACCCACCCTGCTCCCGTACCCTTCCCCCTGGCCAGACACCCTACCCACCACCTGCTCCTGCACCCACCCTGCTCCCGTACCCTTCCCCCTGGCCAGACACCCTACCCACCACCTGCTCCTGCACCCACCCTGCTCCCGTACCCTTCCCCCTGGCCAGACACCCTACCCACCACCTGCTCCTGCACCCACCCTGCTCCCGTACCCTTCCCCCTGGCCAGACACCCTACTCCCAGCCTGCTCCTGCACTCTCCCTTGCTCCCGTACCCTTCCCCCTGGCCAGACACCCTACCCACCACCTGCTCCTGCACCCACCCTGCTCCCGTACCCTTCCCCCTGGCCAGACACCCTACCCACCACCTGCTCCTGCACCCACCCTGCTCCCGTACCCTTCCCCCTGGCCAGACACCCTACCCACCACCTGCTCCTGCACCCACCCTGCTCCCGTACCCTTCCCCCTGGCCAGACACCCTACCCACCACCTGCTCCTGCACCCACCCTGCTCCCGTACCCTTCCCCCTGGCCAGACACCCTACTCCCAGCATGCTCCTGCACTCTCCCTTGCTCCCGTACCCTTCCCCCTGGCCAGACACCCTACTCCCAGCATGCTCCTGCACTCTCCCTTGTTCTTGCTCCCTTCCCACTGGCCAGACCCCCTACTCCCACCCTACTCCCTGAACTCTATTTCCCATCCAGACTTCGCACCCTCACCCACTTCTGCACCTCACCACCTGCCCATACCTCACACCCAACCCCCCTCCTGCCCACATCCTGCCCCCCCATCCCTATCCCACTTGCTGGCAGTCTTGTCCTGCACGCTGAACCCTTCATTTTCGTCCCACCCCCACAGTCTAGGGGGTCCACAAAATCCACTAACCCTGGAACCCTAGAAGAGTAAATCTGGTTTACGGGAAGCCCTGAACCTCGGTCCTCCCTTTCCTCCCCCCCCCCCCCCCCCCCGGGCCGGGAGCCCCCGGGGG